AAGTGTAGATGAGGCTTACTGTCCTATAATTGCTATTTCTTGACAATAGATTTAGCAGAGACGTGTCTAAAGTGGGAGGGACTATATTCAATTGCTATCTATCTACACAAACTGTTACTGAGCCTAGATTTAATTCATCCATCTTCATAATGCATTTCTTCAGTTAATTTTGTTTTAATCATAAAAAGAGGTGCAATTTGCTTAATAAAGCATAGCAGATTGCTATACTAATACAGAAAGAGAAGAAAACATCTAGATACAACATTAGGCAAAGATGATTGGGAACTGAGAAAAGGTCTAACTCGATGTCAGTAAGTATCAATAGGAACATAATTCAAAGCAGCCAGGCAGAAACCTAAGCGGACGTACCGCGATGATTCGGCCTCATTTCACACTCAGAAAAAATCGGGCTAAAACATCAATTAATTTTATCCCGATATCATAGACTATAAAACACATATGAAGGGCTGTGTAATATAGATGATTTCAAGTATAATCATTGCATGATATTATACAACTTTGAACGGAGATTGCGAGCTTTTGCACTATTGTCTAACGGTGTCAATGCACTAACAATTACACCGTAATTAATAAAAACATTAGTGACTCCTGCGATATCAATAAATTCAACATAAAATACACGAAGCTTTGTGTATACTATACCTCTATCTAATGCACACACATTTATCCCCTAATCTGATATAACCCTAGATATAACCTATACATGCAACCATGTAATCAAAATTCTACAGCGTTTTTTATTTTAATGGCATTGAATCGGAGACCTCCACCTGGTTATTTGAAGTGACAAGTACCCCCTCCCCCTTAAGACAGCAACAATAGGAGAATAAGCTGATTATAACTCTAAATACCCTGTAATGAAAGTCAAGTTTTCATTAAACAAATCAAGTGCATTTAAATGCATAGAATACCATTGATATTTCAATATGGGACTTGTTTATCTAAACCATAGGCTTGGAACTAGAAACCACATCAGCAAAATTCGGCGCTTTTGATCTAAAATTTTCAAACATCTTATCGCAATTGACTTTTAAATTCTATATTAAAAAACTGAAATAGGGAGATGAGACATTAAGAAATTATACTGAGATTTTTTTGAGTTTTGTATGGGTTCTGTGAACCCTGATACATGGTCAAGTCATAACTTTTGATTTTTGACAGTTGTTTCAATAGGAGAAGTTTTATTGAGTAAAATACATTGACTATATACTAAACACTTCTTCAGGCGTTAAGATGAAGAAAATGAATGTGCTTTTTGAAGCTATCAAACTTAAAAAGATAAATGGAAAAAATATGTAAAGTTTCAAATTTTCTATTAAATTACTTAATTGACAAAATGCCATGGAATGCTACAAAATACCAATGATCTTTTCATTCCTAAAAGTTCATCCTGCGGAATGTAAACAGTTTTAAGTAAAAAATAAAACTGAAGACGTATGCAATTAAACTAGAAAAAGATATCTGTGTATGATGCACATCAAATATTATCAAAACCTGAGAATCTAAGTTAGAGAATATACATGTAATACAAACAAATAATACCACAGAGAATATGAGATTTTAGAGAATTTGGACCACATTTAATTGCCTAATATAATTATGCACTGTTAACACTGTCCATAAGGGTTTCAAAAAAGAACTTAATACTAAAAGTGAATTTTTATACCCTGTAAGTACTTTTGACATTCATTTATATGCCGCCGAGGGAGTGAAATTAAAAACTAAACCCTGCTTTGGCCCGATCAACAGCAGTGTCAAGGGGTATTTATGGACCAGAAACACCAGAGATGAAAGGAATATGAGATTTGGCTAATGCCAAAGACTAATTTTGCCATTTCCAATTCCCAAAGTGGCATATTCAATGATAATTTCCAGCGAGTTCAGCTAAAAAATGCATAAAGTTTTCAGCAGTGATTTGTGTAAAACCTTGAATATGCCTTATAACTTGATGTTTAAATCACGGAAGCTTTCCGCTAAGATCCACATATTAGTCAAAGTTGACTGGGTTACTTAATACCAGAGCAGTCAACCGAACACTATGAAACATGAAAGCAGGAAAGAGTTTTCCCAGGGAGGTCATAATATGAGATGACACACGCAATATATAGCCGTCCAAATGGTTCAGTGATAGGGGACCGTGAGGCCTAAAATAAGTCCTGACAGCATGCCAAGTCGCTACTGTGATTTGTCACTATCGGAAGCTCTGCTTGTACCATTGAATTACCTCACACTGTCATATCACACCTTTACCTCCGAGACGTTATTTCTGAAGAAATGGACTTTGACACTTTCTTACATTTTTCTTATCCCAATGGTTCAGTACCCTTCTACTTAGACAGTCTAGGCACCTCAAAGATAATAGCCAAAAATTAAATTCCAACACTTAAGTTTCTTGATTCAAAGAATTACTCTAAAAATACAGCTATCTTTATCATGTTTCTTATTTCTGCTTTAGCTTAAAAGTATGATTTTGGGTGATAGGATTTATTCACTTTTTGTTTGTGCATTTGCAGCATCAACAAATTATCATGTGAATTAAAATATGCAATTCAAATATGATACATTCTTTATGCTAATGCCCACAGGACAACACCCCCATATAACAGGGTTTCTCTCCACAAAAAAGCATCAGTCATCCCACCTAACCAAAGAGCCAGCTGTCTCAGGGTACACAAACTGAGGGTACGATCTCAGTAATGAATGCATGATTCACGATATCAAACATTATACTGATGATGCAGTTGCTATAGTACAAGTTCTTTGTTATTTTAAGCTGCTAATAGAACCTCCTTGATGATAAGACAGTGTTCAAACACTGGGCCCCAGGTTTGAATTAAAAGAAAGATGCAATTATACTGTGCAGTGGTCCAATCTCTTCTGATCAAATCCGTGAAAATTGCAAGGCAAAAGTTCAGAATCCTACATTCTGATTGGTCCATTTAATCCCCATGGGAGGTAATTAGCCAATCAGGTTTTGTCAGAATGATGAATGAGGCAATATATGATTGCATAGCCACTAATTACGTATATCATTAAAACCAACATTTATATGTTGTTCAGAGAGATTCAATATTACCATCAAGCGATTGTTACTAATTCTAGTGCTCCAATATTAGGGCATTAAGTCTCACAGCATCTCGCTTGATATAAAAAGTCACTAGGCGTTCAGTCTTATTATCTCAACTTAATATAATGAGTTATTGTGCGGAGACGAACTTATAAAATATAATGTAGGAAGTGTAACGAAATAACAGAATGAGTATGTAATTCCATGTGACAGATGCATGATACTAAAGTTACAATTACATATAGGGAAAGAGTCCTAGAGATATATAACCCTTGAAATACACGCAAAAGCCAGATTAGGAAAACGCGAGTAATTATGTCGCCATAAATTCATAATTAGCCTGTGGTAATTGGCTTACACAGTATAAGCAGTCGCTGTTTGCATCTGGGCACAGAACAGGGTCACAGTGACTACCTTATGATATACATGATTAATGGTTCAACATGTAAACGTGATTACGAATAACCATGATCTATATAGTTATGCATTTATAATGAACAAATAGGATGATTCCAGTCTATCATACGATGACATATAGGTGAACGCATCACAACCACCAACCATAAAACCCTTCAATCACATACATCATTTAAAGCTATAACGTATCGTATCGTATCTCATTGGTTTAATATCAGTCTGAAACTTTAGGCCATTGATCCTTACATATAAATGTTTCATAACAGAGATGAACAGTCTGACATGGGACATAACGCAACAGAGAAAACAAATGACGGAAACACAAAGGGTGTTGAAAGAAGACAGGAATAACAGGAATCGACTATGGTAGTAATATATCATGAGAACCAAGCATTAGCTTCAAAATGTGCATAATGATCTATTCAAATTTTCTCTCTTGTCAAACTGAATTCCATGAAGATCTCTCTAAATTTGTGAAAAAATGACTTGGTTTTCTTGTATTTTAAATACAATTCATAAGTGACGTCATGCTTGTTTGCCTAATTCCATGCTGATTGCATTCTCCGTTATTTTATTTTACACATGACCAATGAGAGATTTTTCTCATGGGGGTATTCTTCCATTCTGTGCCAATGGCTCATTAATATGTCTAATCACTACCTTCAAACCTGTAACCATTGTTCAGTCTGGTTTCCAGAAACTTGTTGGTGAATGTTACACTAACTAGACACGGAATAAGCTCATTCATTGGTTGAAAAGAAAATTCAAGACACGATAACCAAAGATGCAAACATTCCAAATCAGCTGCATGAATCCCAAACAACAGTGAAATAACTCATAAAATTGTTGTATCATTAAAAACTTCTTGTCTAAGGAAAAATGTTTAAGACTACTTCGAGAAATCTTTCGAGTGCTCAAAAATGCCCAGTGTCCCTAACAAAACGAGGAAAAGGTATGCAATGGATCTTCTGCCTACTATAAAGTTGACAGTGATAAAGGAGGGCATTCATAGAGAACGATCCCCTTAATCTAGCCCCTATAATTCCCTCCGTCAAATCTCTGACAGAATGGATTAGGCGATGGATCTAATCAGCTACAGTCGGCAAAATAATTAAATTAAATACAAATTAAACAGTATTTTTCTCCATTTGCTGATCATGATATTGCTTCATAATGGTCCTAAAATTGAATCTCCATTTATTTCGAGTGTAAGAGGGTCACTCTGAAGATAAATCCTCATGTTAGAATGAGATCTGAACTATCTAGCTTGAAAACAATGTTGGAGACACACTTATTTCCAAATATATTTCAGAATTGCAGATAGAATAATATGTATATATATTTCACACCAATCAACATTTTTAAACCAAACAACGTTGTTATTTAAAGAGACCGCCAGATGCTAGTCCCTTACCCCTCCCTCTATGCTAACCCCTTCCTCCTTCCCCCTATCCTAACCCCTAGTTCTCTTCTCGAGAGATGGAATTCAACTTACCAATTGTTTACTTGTAAAATAGTGAGGCCTGTATCTTGTGCTAACTGTTTCTTCTGTTCTTCAGATGGGTAAGGATGCTACAATAACAAAAGAAATAAAATATAGTTAACAATAATTACTCATTTAATTATCATTTAATATACTGATTTCACATTTCAGGTATAATTCGTAGAAGGCTATTTTCACCAGTAGTTACTGTAGTATGCATCATGTGATCACCTAAAATTAAAATTAAATAATTATAGAAAATATGATCTTTATCAATGCCAGTGTCCAGAAGAATGGTTTCCAGAAGTAGTGTCTGGTATTAAGTACTGTATGTGTAAAGTGAAAATTTACAATATAAGAAATAGGCAATATGTATAATAAACAATTTACTGCTTATCTTGAAAAACAAGGCAAATATTACATTCATGCCTTAAACATTAGTTTTGATCTTACACAATGTATGTTTAATATCACATCTAGAATTAATTTGAAATTCAAATTGCTTATCACATACAGGTAGAAAATACATTATATAAAATATAGCCAACTCCTGCATGTAGAAAGATCGAATTATCTCGAAGCAGAAGTCATACAGAAGTTATTCACGCTGCTATTATTTTCATTCATCGTATTTGTGTATAATGCTGATGCACAAAAAGTAAGAAAAATACAAATTGGACAAATTCTATGTCAAGATGGATATGTTTCTTGCAACAGCAGATATGATATTATTTCAGAGGAAATAAATGTCACCACCAAAGGAACACAATAACACCATAAGAGATCTAAATGAACAACCAATAAAACACTTCCCTATAGTCAGGTGATCCTCAATGACAAATCACAAAATTATGAAAATGAGACAAATTATGAAAATTGTGTTATGCGTGGTAATTAAAAGAGACATTAACGATATGTTAATCTGGTAACATATTTCGACTTGATAGTCCACTTCCATGAACCTATATAGCTCCTAAGTGCAAACTTGTGTAAAAGCAATATTGAGGAAGTATTGAAAATGGTGGCCAAAACTCATAGGAAAAGTACATTGTTTATTCACTCATAATTATAAATTGATAATTAGTGACTATGAGAATGACATTATGATCTGTAAAATAAATCACATTCATTAAAAATGAAATATCACCAATGAAAAAGGGAGTTGATGCATAATGAATATTTTCTGAATTCTTAAACACTCCTACAGTACAATCATTTCCTTTTAGTCCAAGATGTCTATTAGCATTCTAACCAAATATCCAAATAAACAACAATTTCTTTATAAAGTAATCAATTAGATACATTTGAGATGCATTTAGTACTCTATCAAATGATGAATTATGTAAGCAAGGGTGCAATAAATTCATTTGCAATCAATAAATCATGGATAAATATCCATTGTTGATAATATATCAACCGCAATGTTATCATACTGATATTTCTTTCAAACTTGAAGAATATTTGTCAAATTAATGTGTGGACGATGAATATATTTCAGTAAGAGATGTGAAGGATACTTTCTATCTTAGAAGCTCACTGGGACCTTGGAATGGTGTTATGGTGTTCCCTACATCCATAGTATAGTAGTTCTTTATGACTTTAGATACATTGAGCCATCAAACAAATAATTTATAACTGTTGTGTTTTATTGTTACATTGGTTAGCTTATCATGCAGATCAAACTCAGCGTTAATTCACGCAAAGTCGACATTTTCCAGAGCTTCAATATGACTAATTCATTATTCTAAGTGAGAGAGGGGTGATTAATAAAGCTCCCATAGTAGAGAGAATACAGAGGTAATTTGTTAAACAGTCCTGTATCAGTGAATTATTATGAACGATGTATATTTGGTTGAACATCAATTATAATTCAAGCTCAACCTGGCCTCCAGCATACAAATACATGACAGGCCCAAATCTAATATGACATTTCACCATTTGTTTCTATCAATAAGAAAAATGACCGAGAAGATTATAAATATAGTAAATGTTGAATAATTGCTTGTCGTTTGTTCGGTTCAGAGGTGTAGAGAATAAAGCTGTTTTCAAGTGGAGCAATCAAGGGGCTTGTTGACATGCGGGCCACAGGTAGAAATTTATTTTCTCTCACCCGAAAATCAAAGTAGGTCACGTCATTTATCAATCTCCTTCTATGGAGTCCGTGCAAAATAAAATCAAATGTTTCGGTATAATTTATCATTTCAAGCCTCATTAATCAAGAAGTTATGAATAATTGTGTCTACTGCAGTTTAAATTAGAAACTGTTTCAAGAATTGATAGGGTGCGTATTTTAATTGTCAAAGCATAGACAAGAACCTTGACAACATGACAACAGTCCTATAATTACTCCACAACAACATGTAACAGAACCACCTCATTGTTATTCAATTCTAATTGTTAGTTACGTCTACCAAGTCAGCTCTCTGTCAACCCCTGATCATTCTGGCCTGCATGTACCATACAGTTCATGACAGTATAATAACACAGCTCAAATCTGAGTATGCAAATTAATCACAAATTAGTGATCTTTTTATAAGTTACCACTGACAATTATAAGTGTGGGGTTGACAGTTGAGCTGTTGCACCAGTCAAACCTGACTAATATACACTACGCACATTATAAATTCCATCCATACTAGACCAGTGAAAAATTACCCAACAAGTAGCCACAAGAACATCAGTCATATGTTTCCATGTAAACCACTAAAGGTATCAATAATGAAATTACCATGGAAACTAATCCACAACTTGAAGGTCAAGTGATCCATAAAGTTATTGGACCATATACATATGACATGCCAATTGAGTAAATTATTAATACAATTGTTAAGGATATGATTGTAAGAAAGTAAAGTCATGTGGTAAACAGATACCCAGCTCTCTAACACAAACAGATCATACAAGATAACACCAACAAGAATGGACAATGAAGCTAAACCATAAAGAATATAAAAATTCAAGTAAACAAGACATTTCTCATAAGCTTCAAAGAAAAAAATGCTGATATTACGTGACAAATTAGAAATCAAATGAAAGGGCTGTGCTTCTGTAGGGATGTTGACAGCATCCATTTGTCTTGTCCCCCTATCTTATATGTCAGGCCTTCAAGCCCCTAACCAACATCATTATTAATATCAGCAATAAATTTCAATGAATAATCATTGCTTAAACTAGACAAGTGAATAATAGTGGTGAGAGAAGGTTTGGTAATCTAGGGGGAGAATTGACAGGGTAGTTGGAACAATGACATTTGCCATCAGTACACATCAGTTACCATCAGGAGGAATATTTACTTTCAACTGTATGACAGCTTGGAAACAAATGGTACCTTTGAAGAGGTACATAGACACCTTATAGTATGGAAAATACTATAATGAGGGATTTGTGGTGAAGAATGTAATAGATGACATATTGGAACAACAAGCTATAACATCCACAGGATAGGGCAGCAAGGGCACTGACTGACTGGCCTTTTGTGCTACTACCTTCGAAGGGAATACAGAGGAGAATGTGGATAATGAAGATGAAACACATAAGATGGACAGATGATGCCTGTGATCTCCAAAGAGAATGTATGGTACACATAATAAGGAAAAGTATCTATTCAGGACAAATGAGAATGAGAATCAGTTAAAGGTACAACTGCAAAACGGGTAATGCTGCTCAAAGTCCTAACTAATTATGATAAATAACTAATGTCCCTGAAGATGCTATTGAGTCCAAAGGTCCACATTTGTAGCCACATTTCAACAACATTGTATTTTGAACAATTCAGACTTGTGCTGAACAGAACAGCAAGCATGACATATGATGTATGGCTACCTTTGATGTTTCTCTTGCAGTGATTAGTTTTTGCCATATCTTTTTAAAATTTGATTGAAGTTTCTGATTTTCTTGCATTTCCAGACAATTTAAAGTGTTGACTACATGTGTATGCACTTTATTTTTTGATTATGGCACTCTCTTATACTGTATTTTACATTTCAAAACATAGCCGTCATGACGTTTGACGAATAGCCACACTGAGGTTGGAAGATAAGTGTTCTATTAGGCAGGTTACATGACAAGAAATGCTCTAGATGACAGGATACAATTTGTTAACATCCATTCACCTTTCTCCTTTGTTGTACTACGTATAGTGGTGAGTGCACTAGTTCTGTTTATTACAAACTGTATAAGATGACCCTGATGTTTCATTTGGACATTTACCCCTGAGAGATGAACCATTTTGTACAAGATTTCATATAGAAAGATGTGATTAAGATATAAAGGAATCAGATAATGATATGGCTAAATTGATAATTCCTAAAATGATGCACCATATTTTTTTAGTTTAGTCTTCATCCTATGTTTGGTTTAGGTTTATTTTTTCTCCTCAGTTATTAGCATCTCTCTTAATCATTTTGCTGGAGGTCTAGTAAAGATTTTAATGTAGTAAGATGTGAAAGTTTTAGTGCTCATAATGTAGCCTAATGCTTGAAGGTTGTATTCGACCTTATGTTACATGCCTTTATCTTTGCAAATGCAATGCTATTATCTATAAGCTTTTTTCAAGAGTGGCTAGCAACATTGCACTGATAACCACATAGATTGTTAGGGACCGTTATCTGAACACTATATACTCTTACGATAACATGGATAAGTCAGCAATTTTTTCAATGGCGGGTCTCCGTAGAAAAAACAAACTCTTTGTAAGGCATACGCAATTCTTTCTATCTGCAATACTTGCTTTCTTTGATAGAATCATGATAAATTCGGTTTTTAAAAGCCTACTTAAACATCATTGAAGGAACAATTTTTGAAAAATATTTTAGCTCATATACATTTGAGTACAATTAATCTTATTGTTTAAGCCATGTTATCACAGTACAAAGATATCATTTGAAACGTTTCCTCATTGTGCCAATCTATATTTTGAAATTGAATTTTATCCAATTATGCAATTCAACGGCCGGGATATTTTTTAATTTGGCTCAGTTGAAAAATCACTTCTTAAAGGTCAAAAAGATTTCGCCTTTCATCTCCAAGTGACTTAATCACTGGGAACGTCCGGAAAAATGCAGACTATTGTAAGATTGGTCGGGAATGA